GTCGATTTTAGTCATTTACGGAATGAATTGGTTATTGGTTTATAAGGTATGAAAATTTCAGAAAATTTGATTAAGAGTATATTTTCATCACAATGCGTAAATGAACTTGGTCGATTTTCTGTTTTTTCTCAAAGGTCAAGTAAACATTTCCATGTACAAATGACTTCATGCAATTTAAAGAGTGATTCTCACAGTAATGCCATTGTAATTGCTTTGTTTACAATAATGTAACTTTCCCGCCTTTGAAATGTTTTATTTTGATTGGCTCTTATATTACTTTTTGTTAGACTAACTAATCAGGAGCAGTTTTGAAGAGAAATCAGAACTGGTGTTTCGCTTGTTTGCACTGGTATTTACAATAAATTGCACTGCTCTTAACCAATCAGAATTGAGAGATTTTTTCATGTATATTATTTGTCGCTGAAACAAAACGGTTTTTTCAAGTTCTTTTCGCTTAAATATGCTGTAAATATGTTCAAAACAAGCTTCGTCTGTTTTTTAATTGTTTTCAACTTCTTTTTTGCTCAAAAGCTTTTGCTTATCTTTCTTAGAAACTGTGGTGAACATCGTTTTTTTGAATTTTTTTCAAAACCGGCTTTTAATGGCGTGCATATTTGTAGAAACCATTATATGTAGGTATGACGTCATGATTGCAGATATTGAGCAATTGTTGGATGAGGTTGAGCATAATTCTGAATAATTCTTGATATCATGCGAAAAACGAATTCAATAATTTACTTAATTCTATTCTTTACTTAATTTAGCATCTTTACTTAATTCAGTTCTTGCTACTTCTTTTTCATTTCTTTGCCAACCGTCGATTTGCCAGACTTAGCAGTCAAAGTAGACATATTGCTGTATTGACAACCTAATGTAGTGCCATTTTAGGGTGCCACCAAATGGCTGCCTTTGCATGGCTAAGCGCGCAAAGCATACTGCGAGACTCATTCTTTAATGCATTTACGTAAAGAGATAATCCTCTTTTTTCATACATTTATTTAAAAATAATGTTATTTTAAGCAGTCATTTATGAATAAAATCTTTCGTGCACGTAACAGGTCGTTCAACCTGTTAGTTAAAACGGAAAACAAACCAAGTTTATTGATGTATTTGGCATACTTGAATACAGTTGGCATGTACTTGATTGGTACCATCCAAAGCAAAATTAAATTTGTATTGACCAAAAAGCGTGCTATATGTCGTAAGATAGCTCGAATCCTCATCTAGAGGTTTGTGCCAAAATTGAAAGGCTGTATCGAACACTGAGAAATATTTGTACTGTCAAGAGAGGGTAATATTCTCGCTGAATGGCTTCGTTGAGATATCTAGGATTAATACATATTCGTAGCTTGTGTGGCCTTTCCACACCTACCATAGAGGGTCATTTTACAAGGTCAATGATACCCATTTGCACTGCACTCCATCCAATTCTTTTTTAATTTTCACTGTCATGGCTGCTAGAACACGTCAAGGCTAATCGACTGTAGACTTGTTTGTCATCAAATAGATCAGAATAATCTCGTATCAGAAATGTTACCGTTAAGCCTGGTTTCCGCTATTGGTTTAACGCGACAAACGCGACAGCGATTAACTTAAATCGCGATAATCCCATATGTGAACGTGGTAATAATCGCAATAAAAAAAGGCGACTAACAATCGCGACAAACGCGATAAAATATAAAAAATTTTTGATATTTATTCGCGTTAATTGCCAAAATGACGTCATCTTGAATGAAAATTTAGAAATTTAAAATGGCGGATTCAGTATGTGTTTAATCACTTATTCCAGAAACTATTAAATTTGATGAAAAGTTGGCCGAGGAAGTGCGTAAGTTTCCATGCTAATATGACAAAACATGTAAGGATTATAAAGACAAGTTTGGCGTGGCAAATGCTTGGGCAAAAGTGGCAGAAAATCTGAATCTATCGGAAGGTAAAACAATGTAAACAAAATATAGGTGTGCTTGAGTGGCAGATTTCGAAGGTGTAGAGACTGCAGTCTGCTATAAAATGTACAGCTTTCAGTTTTTCAAAAAATTTTTCTATTTACGTCTACTGTAAAACTAACACTAAGTAGATTTAATGTTTTTTCATGTCAAAAAATGTTAATACTGTATGGGATATACTTTTTACGTATAGGTGAGCGAGCCAAAAAATTGTTTGAAAGTTTAAAAAAAAGATTCGGCAAGCGAAGAAATGTCTTCAAAAAAGTAAAATCTGGAACATCTCTGTCAGCTGTTGTTTCCTCTAAAACAAAATTGGAGGACTATGATTTTCTACAGTGGTTAGTACCATAAATAAAAGCTAGAGCAACAAAAACTAATTTGTCAGTATCAACTACCAGCAGCAGCTCGACAAGTAATTGTAGTTTATTAACAGATGATGAAATTTAGCATGCGAGCTTACTAAATGAAAACAATGACTGTTAACAAATTGAGCCAGATAAAGTATTTGATGATAAGATTACTGATATATCTGATACAACTGGACATAAAAAGTGGTCAAAGACAAAAGTTGATGTTGAGCAAGAAATACAGTTTCTTCGTACAATGCAAAAAGCAATTAGGCATCAAAATGAAAACAAACACGTGGAAAAAGTTGAAAATGATTTATTTGGAATGTGTGTTGCCTCCCAGTTAAAGAAATTAAATGCAAATGAACAGGCCATTGCTAAGCATCAGATTCAAAATGTTGTTTTCAATATACAAATGAATCAGAACCCAACACTGTGTAACCAATTTTTGCATAGTACTCAGGCTCTCCCTTTTCTCGGAAGCTCAATGATGCAAAAACCAACAAGTTATCTAAATACTGAATTGTTGACAAATTCCATTGAAGAACTTTGTTAAAAAAATGCTCAAACTTTAAAGTATGAATGTTATGTAGAAGCCATATTGTATAAACGAAATTGTTGACAGAATGTTTTGTTTTCTTAATTATAAATTCTTCCAGTGTTTCTTACATATTGTTGCTGCCAAGGCTTCATTGCTATTTACGTAATGTTTCAATGCCTCTCACATTGCAATAGTATTGCCAGTATAACGAGATCCTCGGACTTTGGGAATACTGATTAGACCGGTACCATAATCTGATGCTACAACTTTTCTCCCATCTCCCATCACAGATTTCGACGATGATCGCTTGAAGGTGATAAGAGAAAAGAGCCGATCCTAAATAAAGGGAGAGGGGACAATGTAATGAATATGATACCTGTTGTTCAACATCAGCAAGAACATGTAACAAATCCAGATCAAGAAATCTCATTTTCTGCAGAACTTGGTCAGAAAGATACGGATTAACACGACACATTTAATCCAACGAATGAAGAAAGTGCACAAGAACCAAAGTCGTATTAGCAATTAGGTAGTACAGTGCAAACAGAAAATCGGAGAAAAGCTATGATAATGGAGCATACAATAATGGTCAAAAACCCATGGACAGCTGTGAATGAACCAGATGACATGCAAGTTAATTTTGCCAGGAAAGTGGATGTATAAAGTAAAATACCGAGCAAACAGTCTAATCGATAAATTTAAAGTGGTTATGCAACGAATTTTTCACTTTCTTTTTTATGAGCTTAACTTGTAGAACTCTGTTTTTCTGATTATATACCTGAAAACAGAATTAAATTTTGCCTTTTCAAACTTATTCTACAGTTGCTCAAAGTTACGATTTTTTCCAATTTTTGTGCGAATTTTTGATGTAAGCTGTAACGTAGAAACGAGTACCGCCCTTCAACATGGCGTATGTAACTAATAGAAGTGAGCAGCATCACGGAGGCAGACGTTGTATTGCTGGCGGCAGAAAGTTAATCAGTTGCGGTAATCAATATACTGAAGGAATATAGCTATCCATCTGTTTCCTAATGTGAGAACTGATCTTCAAAGGCGAAGGAAATGGGTGAACTTTGTCCGTAAACATAGACCAATTTTTCTAGCTACGTCAACCTCGTGTTTATGTTCGGCACACTTCGAGGATTCATGCTATAATATGAATCGTGATATCGCAAAATCTTTAAATTTGAAACGATTCTTAAACAAACGCAGTACCAACGATAGATGTGGTAGGAATCGTAGCTGCGGCTGAAGAACATCTAACAGAAAGAAAATGAAGGCAGGTCAGCAAAGTATACAGTCACAGCGACAATGCACATGGCCAAGCGGAAGTTACATACCACCTAAAATACTTTATCTTATTTATTTTAGATAACTCGTAGCACCAAAACTCTATCTCCAATTCACTGGGGACAGTTGAAGAACAGACTTCCACAACCAGCCATGCTGTTGATCATACAACACACGATTTATCGTACGACTTTCATACTGACATTGGCCATGCAGTTGCTTCTCATAGTTCGTGCACATCGTGTCATCGCTTCAAAAAACAAATAAAAGGGCTTCAAGAAAGAGTCAGCTGGTACAAAAATAAGACAGCAACTTTGAACAAAAGAATACGAAAACTAGAAGCAAAAAGAGCGACAAAAACAGAGACAAGATTTAGTTTTCTACGTAGTGCACCATCTGATAAAAATATAAATAGCGATGGAGACAGTGATGAAGAGCTCTGTGCTTATGTTTCGTGAATGGATTACTCATCTTTAGACTCTGACGTCTTGAAACAACATTACCCAAGCTATGTTGATGTTCAAACACATGAACTTTGCAACTATATCTGTAAGGTCATACCACCATTATCAAAGCACATTTTTGTGCTTTTATTTATAGCAGTAACACTGCTCTATGAGAGACATCATACAAGATTAATTAAACATTATAGGGGAGTAGTTATTACTATGCCCCTATTTTCTATTATAGTTATAGTGTTTACTTTAGCTGATATTGCTATTCCTCTTAGTTGTAACTTTGTTGGAGAATTTTTGTCTTTAGTAGCTGCTTTTTCTACTAGTACATCGTTAGGTATTCTCTCCTCAACTGGTAAGGTTATAGCTGCTGCTTATTTATTATATTTATATGAGCAGATGCAGCAACAACTAAATTTGGCAGCAACACAGGAAGAAAATGCTGCATCTCAGGAAAATTAGGTTGTACGCAGATGTAGAAAATGTAAAGCTCCGCGTAAAGGACATCCACGGGACATATGCCTAGATCCTGCTTCTTGAAAGCTTTTATTCGGCAGTGGTCAGATCTTGCTTGCAGCCTGTCTGAATTGCAGAGATAAGACACCTCCTTCCCTCCACTAGTCTGGGGGTCACCTTGGGCAAGTGATAGTACCCTCTTAGCCTCGCAAGCCTTGGGAACAGGCTTAATTGTTGGAACTATTCATGTCTTATCCAATTATTCAACATTCTAAAGATTGTATTGGGATAGTAGGTGATACTGACATTTTGCTATTTTGTTTTTAAAGTAAATAGATTATAAGTTTCTAGTTGTTACTGTTTTCAGATTGCTGTATGGTTTGGTGTTTGCTCTGGATATCATAATTATGGCTTATTCAACAATTAAGGTGATGTTATAACGGGCGACCAAAGAAGAGGAACAAAGGACGACCAAAGGATACATGGATGAATCAAGTGGAGAAGCAGAGCAAGAGAATTTGGAGAATGGGTTTGGAGAATGGAGATGTCATGAATCAGCCAATCAGGGACAATGGAAAGTTGTTAGACAGGTAGCAACAAATGTACATTCGAGTGTTTTATATATTGTGGTGTAATATAATTGCTAACTTATAATACAATGAAATAATAACTGATTTTTTACTTAGGCTTGCAAACCATATACAAGATCGTACGTATGTGATGTAGTTAATTAGCTAACTTACAATTACATTAAAATATTAAGTGATTTTTGACTTAGGCTTGCACAGCAAATACATGATCGTGTGTGATATAGTTAATTAGCTAACTTACAATTATATAAAAATATTATCGGAATTTTGGCTGAGGCTTGCTCAGCATATGTATTATTATGTATTGCACACTAAACTTAGCGTTGTTCAGATGGAGTGTAACCTTTGGATTCACATGTTGGGTACTTTTTCCTTAAAAAATGTGCACACAAAGTGGTAAAGGCCTGGTGTTCTCCCACCCTAGTAGACACATCCTCCTAATAAGCCATCTATAACCAACAGCTCTCAAGTATCTAAAATGAAAATTAATTTCATTATTACATGTGCAAACTGCAGTGTGAGATATACAATTTATGGTATATGGTCTTACTGATTTAATGACTGTGATCCAACATTTTCTCTTGCTTGATGTGTCATTGGACCAAAATCGCCGTCTTGCGTGATACAACTTATGTGCTCACTTATGTGCAGAACATTCGAATCACCAAAATTATCTACCCAGGTGTTTTAAAATATCAGAAGCGCTGCTCCATGGCCACTATGAAGGTCATCTGATGCCAAACTATTTTGTATTCATCAGAGTTGTGACTTGTGAAGCTTGAATGACTTTTTGAGCAAGTTGGAACGTAAGCAGCAGCATGTTGGTCCACCAATAGAGTGCTTGAATAGCAATTTCTAAAACATATACTGTCACATGGTCCACATGACTTAACTTTGTTATTTCTGCCCTTTTAAATTCAATGAGGAGATTATTTATATATTTGACATAGATGCTTATTGATGATGTGAGAAGTGAACATAAAAAAGCTTCCTGAATGCTTTTGTGAATTGGATTGGTATTGGCTTGGCACAGTTTCCCTCAGTTGTCAAATGTTTTAAAAACGTTTTCTGGTGTATCTGTGTTTCACCTTTTGGTAAACATTTTACTGTGTAAAGTATTAAGATTTAAATAATGGTATTAAGAGTAACTAATTTTTGTCAGAATAAGTTCTGTTTGTGACATGATTATTTACAATAAAAAATTTTAATTTCTTGAATGAAGTTTATGGATTTTAGCAAAAATTAAATTTTCGAGCCCTTTGTTGCAATAATTCTCTCTGCTGGTTGATCAATGTGGTAAATCAAACATAATTCTAATCATTTTTCACAGACAATTGTTGGTCACAACTCACAAGTAAAGCTTAACCAAAGAGCTAAGCTGTAGGAGTTTGACAATATGTTTGAAATAATGACAAAGTTGTTAATTTAATGGAAACAATTTATCAATGACTTTATTCTTTAAATAATTGTAATTTCATATATTGTTTATTAAAAATAAGACAACAAAAAACATCTTTATTTGTAAGTTAATACAAATTTGACAGACATGATAGCCATAGGAACTCAATGTACAATTACAAATATAAACTTTCAATTACAATTATGCAGACAAGCTACGTTGCAAATAAAAAGCCCTCATTCAAGCATCAAATATAAAAGCAGTTTAGTCCAAATTCTACACTATTAACGTCTTTATCTGAAGAACGTTCTTTACGCACAGTAGGTTTTATCGCTTCCAACCAATCCATTGACCATTCTAATAGGAAAATCTTTTCTAGAAAATACAGAAATGGATCACACTAAGTATATTTATTACCTTTGTATTAGTCCTAAATTTTAAATTCTTAGGGCAATTGCCGTGGAATGTAAGAGACGTTCTAATTATGGATCTCGCATACAATTTAAAGCAAGAGACTACGTATAAAACCCATAAAATTATAGTTGACGAACGTATTTTACAACAAAACTGTTTCTCACCTCATATCCTTGATATCCTGTCCGATAGCATCAAAAATTTTGTCCATAAGTGAATTTACATTCATCAAATTTTCGAAAAACAACTCTCCATAATATTAACATATATGCATTCTGGCCAGTTTATCCGGCTGGAGTAATGGCGGACGCAATGGATGCGCATTTGAGAACTGGGTGCAAGTGGGGGGCAGATTTTTCGCTGAGCGGCGCTTTTGTTACGTATCTATTCTGTGTGTCTGGTTATCCGTATGTACTCTATGGGACTCTGGTCACAGTGCTTTTACTTTTTTCGTGAATATAACGTAAAGGAGAAAGCAAATAAATGTGTCCAACGAGTCTTAAATGCACTAACTAGTCTTAAAGTTGTAGTTTCACATGAAGTAAATCAATTAAAAGTGCGACGCATTGTTTATCAATTTCTTGGTTCACTCTGGTCACTGGTCTTTGTGTTTTTGTTCTAAATTAAAGAGAAAAATCTATTCATCTTTCTTATGATGCATAATAACAAATAATATCTGACATTATCTATGTGGATTTAAAATATACCAAAATTACCATGAACATTAACTCAAAATACACGTCAAACCGAGTCAAACTATAAAATACAATTAAATCCGAAATGTTTGCTCTGGTTACTTTCAATGAGAATTCGCTTGTTAAAACCTTCAACATTATTTGTAATCAGTACAGAGTATTTTTAATAATGCAATGGGAAAAGACAAAAGAGCTCGGCTCATACCGAACATAACAGGTGTCGCGTAAATGCCAATAAATACATATCATATCGTGACAATTGTGACTGTTGATTTATCGGTTGAGTGAACGACATACTCCCGGGTTCAAACCATTTACTTTAGTATCGTTATATGTTCGTGAATGTAAATGGTCCAGGTTAATAAAGTCCTGAGAAGGACTGTTTTTGATGTTGTTGACTGACGTTTCGACAACCTTAGCGGTAGTCATCTTCAGAGTCAAATGAGGAGTAAACGTCAGGTTAGCCGTATTTGTTGTCTGGTTCTTACGTCATTGTATTGTGTGTACAGGAAATGTGCAGGAAATGTGTATTGTCATTGTGGATTAGTGTGAAGTGAAATATATTATTTTTAGTTGTGATGTGTGATTTAGGTGTGACGTTTTTAGTTGTAGTGTGTGGGTGTAAATTGGGTATTGTCATTGTGAATTAGTTTGAAGTGTAATGTTTTTAGTTGATCGTTTGTTTGTATTGTGAATAAGTCGTTTGTAAGGTGCCGGTAATTGCTGTGATCTGTTCAGATGGGCTTGTTCCAAGTTGGTGTACCAACTTTCTAATGTAAGCCGTTGTCTATAGTCAGTACTGTAAGTAATGCATTTTGCCGAGTCCCAGTCAATGTTGTGCTTTGTGATTCGGTGATGTTCGGCAATGTGATTAGTTTTGTCTGGTTTCTTAGTAGCTCGTTTGTGTTCAGTAAGTCTTATGTTTAAGTTCCTGCCAGTTTCCCCGATATAGGAAGCGTGGCAGTCGGAGCAGTTTATTTTGTAAACTGCACCTTGTCGTTCGTTGGGTTGTTCTTTGTCCTTTATGTTCGTTAGTACTTGTCGTAACGTTGTGATTGGTTTATGTGCGACACGTATGTTGTATGGTCGTAAGATACGCGAGATAGTCTCAGACGTACCTTTGAAACAATTATTGACCAAAACAACTATCTCAGACGTTTTTTTGACAAAAACAACTATAACTCTGACTTTATCAAACGCAACACTTACAAACCCAACGAACCCAACGAAACGAACAACTCAGTGACAACAGCAACGATACCTTCAAAGGTACCAACAACAACAAAAACAGTCCTTCTCAGGACTATACCAACCTGGACGATTTACATTTACAAACATGTAAATACGGCTCATTAACTAAGTTGTCAAAAATATTGGTTTTGTTAAGATTGTGGCTATTTCCCATGAAATATAGGCTCAAAAATGTGGGCCCATGTCCTAGAACTTGGAACTTTTTTTAGTTTGTTCGCCCCTGATTCAAAGGATTAGGTACGTGGCAAAAATATCAAGGTGAACGATCATGGTACATTACACTAGTTCTTGTATTTTTATTAGCGTATTGAAATATTTGGCTTTTTAGAAGCTGTTTGATGTATAATGACTTTCGTGTGTTGAGTAGAAGTTAACAAAATTTAACTGCAATCTTTGTCATTTCGTTCGAACTCTATTGCTGCCGCCATGTTTGTTCGTTGTGACGTAGAAACAAATACCGCCCCCAAAATACTTTCTAGTATTTATTACAGCCAGCGAGGTACAGGCCGTGATGTTATAAGCTTTTTTAAGTTTAAAAACCAAACAATTTTGTTTAAAATCAAATCAGAGTTTTTTTATACATATTATTCACGGATATCGGGTGAAGATTTCTCAAATAGTATTTAATTACATGAATTTCAAGTATGTATAATACTACTTCTGCTGCAATTCATATAAGTACATTAGCGACAGTGTAGCATTTAAGATGGAATTTTTTTTGTGAAAGACGATCAACCTTTTGTGCAAGAAAGTATTAAAAGTCGAAACAAGCATTGATAAACTGACATAGACAATGATGCGCAACGATAGTTAGAAATAACAGTAAGATCCTATACCAACAGTGAATAATATATCTATTGATGTAAATCGAAGTTTAAAAGTAAGTGATAAATAAAACAAATTAAATAGATTGATGATTTCTAAATTATGAAGTGCAAATTCATTATTGCCAGACATAATTGTTGGAAGGTATAATGCAGAAACAGATCTTGTCAGTATTGAATGCATTAAATGCATCACCAACTTCAACTTATTCAGAGATTTTGGCCAAATAGTATGACATATGTTGTTCCTGTGGGTAGCAGTCATTCAAAAAGTTTGTTTCATATAAGCTATAAAATGTTTGCTCATTACTGTGCAATATATTTCCTACAATTTGTAATTTGGATTCCCCACCCGAGAGCTGTTGGCTGTAAATGTTTTATTGGGCAAACTACCAAGATAGGGGTGATAAAAGGCTTCAATAGCTGAAGAAAAGTTATTATTAATAACTAATTACTAATGACTTGGGTCCTTGCAACTGCTTTGCTTGAAAAACAATGGATTATAATGAATTATGTTTTTAACTATTCAGGCTCACGAAATATATGTTTCACGATGGGTGCAACAGAAATGCATCTTTTCGGAGGGTGTATTTATACATTAAATTTATTGTGAAACTTTGGGATTTTACTTAAAGTTGTTATGACACCAAATTTTACCATTATGTTTTCTGATTGGATTGTAAAGGAAATTTAAAATGACTTAATATCTTTTTTAAAGGAATTTTATAATTTTATTTCTTTTTAAAGATATATAACTTTTCTGCAATATGTAAATGACATCGTTATGACATCACATTGCATAATTAGCATTAGGAAAAACTAATTTTCTCGACAGTTAGCATTAAAATATGTATTTTTGGCACCTTTACAATTAATTATGTGTTCATTAAACTATTTTCTTTGTTTATAAAAAGTTTTAAGGATGTAAAAAATGTCATTATGCTTTGTTATGTCATAACCATGTCGTTTACATAAAGGAAAAAGAAATATATCTTGAACAAATTACAATAATCCAGTTCTACTAAAGAGGTTATCAAGTTATTTTATATGCTTTATTCAATAAAATAAAAAAATTGTGATAAAATTTCGTGTCATAAACAATTTAAGGTGAAATCGTAAGGGTCAAAATGGGTTGCATAAAAGCACTTTAATAGTAAACTCATGTTTGTCTTATATACATTGTTGTATAATGTTTGCATGCATGGCATCTAAATTCATTGAACTAAATATAATTGCAAGGCTAACTTCGCCCTGACATTTGACGCCAAAGTCGGCAGTATCGTTCCCTGTTTTTCCACGCTTGTGATAATTACGGCCAGAACAAAATATTTCAGAGTTTTTGAAGAAACTGTAAAAAAAGGGGCAATAAATCGCAAAAAATTGTTTCAGAAAGATGTAGAATTATCTAATTCATTTATTGCAATATTTTAGGTTATTACATTACAGCAACCGTTTTTGTGAAAAAAAAGAACTTAACAAACTGTGACAAATGCGGGCGTTTTCGACCTTTCGCAAAGCTGCATTGTTATGTTGACATTTTTAAAAAATGTTTATCCACTAATGAGACTGACGTAAAAACACAATGGAAGAAATGGAAGAGCACCTGAACGTAAACAAATCTTTGTTTTAAAGTGCTATTTACAAAAAACATCGTAGTTTCTTGTTATTCGGGCCAGAACGAATCGGAGCACAAACCTTTGCCATTCGTAAGTTTCCTGTGTAAAAAATATTTGTTCTGCAGAAAACTTAAATTTACATTATTAATAACAACAGAAAAGGCTATGAAACTGGAAAAATCAGATAATTTTCGCTTTGTTTACAATTACGCATTGCGAGGCTGAACTCGCGTGATTTGACTCCCAGAGGCTCTTATCTGGGAATGGCATCACGAAAAATCTGGCTTCATTTCGTGTGTTACCGATGTATCTGAAGGTAGCATTCCAGTTATATTTAGTTCAATGTCTAAAATATGCATTTTCTTGCTATGATATAGGGAGTTTTTTGAAGATGTATCAAACGTCGCTGTTCAGCATGTCTTTCTCGAGCAAACAACCATGCCCTCTAATATGAAGGTAAATAACTTTTAATTTTTAAAAAGATTGATTATACAACAGGATTGTACAGCAGTGATTAGATAAAAACTTAGATCCCCCATAAATAGAATATATTTAATATTATTTCATATTTCTGGTGATTTCTAGCTCTTTCTTTGTTCATGTTAAACGCTCGATTGTTTTAGTATCGCTAAATGTATATTCTTGTATAAACAAGTTTATTTATTGGAAAAACTTCTTTAAAATAGGACGTTTGTGCGCATATTCAAAATCTCTTGTTGATTGCAACATTTTGACATTCTCTGAAACAGCTGGCTCTATTTGAAAAACGTTAAATTCTAACTGTTGAGAGAACGGCCGTTAAAGTAATTTGAAACATACCTTGCTAATATTAGTCTTTGAAAAAAACAACTTATATACGCTGAGTGAATATATAGACTGTGTTGTATATTGGAATATATATACTGTGGTGAACGCGCAGTGAAATCGTTCAAACTTGTTATTTCTCACTCTTCATACCATGTTTTTGCTACTACTACATTAATTCAAGTTCAACTTTTTTGTATTGTCAAAAATTTTGATTACTTACAATATGAAATTTGCAAGCCATTTTACCAAGGTCCAAATGATGCAAAAATTTGAACTGCAAAAACGCAAAGTTTTAAAGATTTTGTGTTTCCTGCACGTTCACCAATAGGCTTGAATTTTTGGTGACTAGTACAGGGTAGTTAACTTGTATTTTTGGCGATTAATATTTTTGTGCAAGACCTGTTTTAAAGAACTTTTAAAAAAAAATCATTCTCTGATAAAAAAAATCTTGCGTTTTCAAAAAATTTCAGTCCAACTGCACCAGAAAACGGTAAAGTAGGTACTTAAAGTCGCCAAAAGCTTTTGTAATTCCGCGCGCGCGTCTCATTTTAGATAAATCTAGATTTGAGGACGCGACATCTAAGACATCGTGAGCTGACCGAGGCGATCTGGGTCGACGACGCCGTCGTCTTTCATGTGAAGAGTGATTTAGATTATGTGAGAAGACGACGAGTTTTTACGAAAAACGAATTTCATCTTTTATGCGAATTTACTGAGTTATATGGCATTTGTTCCTATATTTGATGATTATTAAAGAGATTATGGAGAAAAAAAGAACACTTTAGTTCAGAATTATAGTTGGTTTGCACTAATAGAAAAACAAAATTTAAGCTTACATTCAATTTTTTTATCATAGTACTGCTATTTCATGGCATTTCAATAAGATTTTCAATAGAACAATTTGAATTGTAGATTAGTTTATATTGATTGTATGAAATATGGCGCATATTGACAAGACGTCATATAATTAGCGTACAAAACACCCAAAATTTCAATAAAATTTAGTTCTTCTTTTTAAAAGCTGTTTTCTCTAGTTTGGATTCTAATTTTATAGAGAAAATAATATAATAGAAATAATATAAAGAAAAATTTATCTAAAACAAAATAAAAACGAAATTATTTATCTTGTGGATTGTTTACATGAACAACAAAACATGCGTGTATATTATGCATCTTATTATTTCGGTAAAGTTGAATGCAAAAACACACAAGTTTTAGCTGAATTGCTTCAATATTAAACTATCAATACACACAAGTCATAAATTTCCATAGACTTACATTTCAAAGAGGTAAAAAAGGTAGAAAACACAGACGTCTTCAAGAAGACATAAAAACAGCAAGTTCACGTTGTGAAAAACACTAAGACGACGTCGCAAAGGCAGCGGAAGTAAAGCAACCGGATGCTTACGACAGATTACGCCATACTCACGTCGTCTTAAAATTCGCGTCCTCAAATCTAAATCTGTTTCATAATAAAACCGTGATAATTTTTGTATGGCTTTGAAAACTGTATTGGCATTTCGCGAAGTTGTTTTTGTTTACATAATTATGAGAGAAGCATTTTGTATCTTATTGCCAATCACTGCTTTTGTTTGTTTTTGTATTGCTACTCATTCTGTTCCTCGTTTGTCAGAGAAAAATAATACTTCTCTATTTATTCCATAAAATTTATTGACCGTACAGAGTCTGGCAAAAAACAAAACAAAATGATGTACAAACAAAATATTTCATTGAATATGAAGTTGCCATAATTTCGTAAAAGCACTATTGCCAATACACATTTAATATAAACGACAACTTTTTTGAAAATAGACATGTTTCGACATCTCTTTATTCCATCTTCAGTATGAGTGAAATAATAGGTGATACAGGGTTTATATAAAAGTAATATGATACATAAATTACAACAATTAAAAGGAAATAAGATAAATTAATGAGGAGCGTCCGAGCGTATTATAAACTAAATATTGTATTGAATTTAAAAACTTGAACATTGAGGTCAGGGTTAGTTTTGTTAGTGTCGATGATTTTGAAACAAGAGGGTGAATAGTTGGTTTTGCTTGAGTGAGATTTAAGAAGGTGTCGGTAGATATGAGAGTTTTTGTCTGTTGTGGTATGTTCCCTGATTCTGGTGGATAAATGGCGCGAAGTTTCGCCAATGTATCGGGAATTACATCCCGCGCAATTGAATTTATATATCACCATAGATTTAATTGAATCAGGGATTGGGTCTTTAAATGAGAAAAGGTTTTTGATTTTGAATGATGTGAAAATTAGTCGAATGTCTATATCTGTACAGAAGCGTTTCATAATGTTTCTAAGTCTGCGTTGTCTGTGTCGTGAGTAATGTCCGATGTATGGTAGTTTGAAGTATAGAGTTGTTATTTTGGAATTTTCATTTGTGTTCGTTGTGATCGTCGTGTCAGGAGTTTTGGTGTCTAGGTTGAGGTTGTTGCTATGTTTGTTGTCGACAGGGGCGGATCTAGGATTTTGGATACCATAGGCAAAACATTATGACGTCATTCAGTGCTAAACCTATGACGTCATACTTTGCAAAACATACTACACTATTTATGCTTTCGATAAATTGTTTAAATCAAACAGTCTAATCATTCAGCTATGCAGAATCTTGTAGATCTCAATCGTATAAATACATAAAAACATTGTATATTTATACTTACATATCACAAGGTCGTTGATTTTCACTATTCAGAATATTGAATGCACACAAGACTGTTTCGCCCCATATCAGGGCTCATCAGCATGCCTAGGAACACTTTAACGCAAAACAAAAAATCGTGATCCGGCATGGACAGCCCTGTGAGAGCCGAATTAAGCAGACTGGTTATGGCGCCAGAAGTTCGCCTACACACCTTTGAAAAAGAAGTTTGGTTAGAAATGGGTGACTATATGGGATATTTCATGGATGTGATATTGCTCAATTTTTCACACCATCCCAGTCAATTCCAACCCTTTACCCCCCACCTAAAAATGAGCACTCTGGTTTTTGAAGGTGCCAGAAACTCGCCTTTCACACCTTTAGCAAATAGCAAAAGGAGTTTGGTTAGAAATGGGTGACTATGTGGGACATTTCATGGATGTAAGATTGCTCAGTTTCTTACACCATCCCAGTCAATTCCAACCCTTTACCCCCCCACCTAAAATGTGCACTCTCATTTGCCAACAAATGAGCAGAATGTAAATGTAATGTAATAGTCAAAATAGAGCTTTGTATAAAGAGTCTTTGTGAAGACTAAAATTTGGTGTAAGGAAAAATTATTCTATTTATGCTTAACAATTTTGTGAAAGTAAATTTATGTCGACAACGGCCGAGTACCATACACGTACTCAGCAGTTTTAAGATTGGAATGTATATAGGGAAAAAAACCTTTATCGGGCGAGCTATTAGTTTGATGCAAATTCTATTGACGTTACTATTGTGTACAACGCACAATAAATGGTTAACATATGGACATTTCAACAAAATAAAAAACTAGGATATGAATAAATTCATGCAAATTTTAGCCTTGTATTTCCAACAGCAAAAGTATTAATAACCTCACCAATATCTGGTACAATTTCCTGATGAATTTGCATCAAGGCCAAACCATTTAAGCGTTCCCCAACCATGGTACTTCGCTGATAGTTTTTAAGTGTCCTAAGGGAAGAAATAGATCGTTCACATTCACAAGAGGTAATGGGGAGCGTTCCTAAAATACGTAGTAAAATTTTAATGTTTTTAAATCCGGCGAAATGAACAGATTTTAAAGTCTGGGCAATGTTATCAGGAAGGAGGCCGCAGTGGGTCTCCCAATAAGTGTACCACAACCTAAGTTCAGCATCTAAGGCCAAAAGATTTGGCAAATCATCATAATAAAAGTTAGCCACAGTTTTGAATGGCTCTTTCCAATCCACCCCATCTCTTGTCATGGACATCATTTTCGTCGGTACAATGCTAAGGCCTTTATAGACATTCACACTCTCAAGGTCGAATCGTGATTCTAAAGAAGATTGCAAATGATCTAGTAGAGGAAGAGTAATTGCACGTTTATAATACTCAGAAATGGTTGTGTGGGGAATATTTTCCTGGTCGTTTGTTTGCGCACTGTTCTTGGTTTCCATTCTTCAATGCCAACTTTTGCTGCCAGTTCAAGCGCTTCGTCATACCAGGTGTCATGATAAAAATCAGAGGAATTCCTCATGTTCACCACCTCAGTTTTCAAAGTTGAAATTAAATGAATACCATCCATTATATCGATACTCTTACCCTGTAATAACTGTGTTACTGGAAGAGTTGAATCAAGAATATTTCTCGTGATAACTAAAGCAACGACGAAATCAAACCTGTCAATAAGTTGAAACAAAGATGAGGCATCAGACTGAAGCGACGGTTTGAACTCACCATCTAGATTTTCAGACATATCGTTAAGGGTGGTGTATACAGGTACAAAAGCTCTTGGAATGTATCTAAACCTTCGATACGTTCTACCCATCTAGTTTTGCAAACGTCTGTTAATCTAGTCTTTTCGAGTTTGTTTCTGAATTACGTATATGTTTTTCAAAGGGAATATTGCGAGTTTGGGAAATTTTAATAAAATTAGTGGCATTGTTAACATGTTTCAACATATCATTGACAACACGTATACTCAAAGAATCGCAAATGGATAAGTTTAACCTATGACTATAGCAGTGTGTATAAAGAGCCTTTGGGTTAAGCTTTAAAATTTGAGCTGCTAGACCATTAGTGCAACCAGCAACTGAACCAGCCCCATCATAACCTTGCCCCTACAATCATCTATTGATAAAGTCAGTTCCTTTAGAGCCTCTAAAGTAGCTTGGCAAGTTGAGCACCACTTAGTCCCCACTTACAAAAAGAAATGAAATGAATTCTTCCCTGATATTCATATCGGTATCAACAAAGCGCAAAACAAGAGACATTTGTTCTTTATGTGAAGAATCAGATGCTTCATCAGCAATAACAGAAAAAACTTACTTTTTGATATCAGAAATAATCTGATTACTGATTACCTGGCCACAACATTTAATGATTTTATTTTGACTTGTTTTAGAAATATAACTTCTATTCTTACCACAATTCTTTAAATGATTTTCTAAAACTTTATCCCCTCTCCTAACTCCATAATTGAGTGTTTCAATGAAATTACCAACCCTCCAGATGAATAACAACCAACAGTAGGGTGATACTTGGAATCATCACGATGCCCACGAAGAGGTAAACCTAGACGTCCACAAAAAATGACAGAATCAATAATTGGAGATAGTATTTCCCTATTCTGTTCTATTTCTTTCTTGATACCAGCATCCATGATCATCTCGATAGGCTGCAGAGTACCTGATATTTGGGAACGCAAAGCATCAAAATTGGTGATGTGGATGCATGCAAACCGACTTCCCTCCCTTTACTTTTTCCAGCATGTTGAGTGAAAGAGCATTTAGCATTCTTCCAATCTTGAAGAGGTTCAGTAAACAACTTTTTACTTTACTGGCCTTGCCTGGGAATCTATTGCCAAACAACACACGATAGACAATACGCACCATTTTGTGAAGGTGAATAGCAAAGCCATTCATGCTGGTCTAGCCAATCATGCCTAAATGATCTGCCATTAGATTTAGGAAAATGATACTTTTTATCTGGTTTATATACATTTTTTATCAAATGACATATTTCAGAATTATCCATACCCTTAACTTTCTCCCTATACAAGGAAACATCAAAATTATGGGTTAAAACAGCAGGTTGCATATCACCAGAAGTTGGAATACCAGGCAATAGTTCCTGGAATGATGTGTGAAGCAAAAGACTATTGGCTTTATTTAATGTCTGAGCAAGAGCTGCAGCAGAAGAAAAACTCTCATTGGGCATCCTTTTAAAAGTTGGTTGGGCAGCAGGCCTATTAGTTGAAGTAAAAAAATTTGAAATGTCAACTGTTTTTGGTGCAATATTTGGAAAAATTTTGACAAATTTTCGTTTCTCTGTTGTTGAGCTGCTAGAATTAGACTGTGTACAGGAATTAGACAATTTTCGCTTCAACCTGTGGGCATGGAAAATGAGAGGCACAAAATGATTAGACTGAAAAGTCTCACCTGGTTGTACAGATCCTTCATGACAAAACAAAATATTAATAGCATCCAAACCTCTTTGGCTTAATAACCGGGGCTGAACAATACGATTAAATAACAATTTATATCTACTTTCACCAGAATCAGGATAAAAGTATGAATTTTTCTACCTAAAACAGAAGATAGGCCCAAAATACAAAGAAAAGATGACCATTTCTGGTCATTACAATTTAAAATAGCCTCCTGTTTTACCAGTTCATCTGTTGTATATCCAGTGTCTAAACATTCTTTAGACACTGACAAAGGCAAAAGATTGTTTAAGCTTTGGGCAAAGTAATCACTGTGCTCACTTATAACAGACAAAAAGCATGGGTGTTGAGCATAAAAGCAGCATGAATAAATAGCTCAAGCGATGTTAAAATTCGCAAAGTAGGGACCAATGCATTGTTACCTACCAGAACTAGGGAAGCTGAACTGTAGAGGCAATTGCCAGAAGCTTCAGATCTTAAAAAATATTCAAGAAAAGAAATTAATATTTTGTTTGGTAGATTGATTGCATTGTATGAATGAATTGCTGACTGTAGACAAAGATATAGCCTAGCGAAATTGAGATTTAACCATTTTACACGTATATATAAATACTACAATACGATATATATAATTATAATATATTTACCTTATTGCAGTACAAGTCTTTCCGTCATGAGCGTGCTTTGGCACATATATTTCAGCTCCAAAATTTCGACACAGAGTATGGTCGGGGTCATAAATTCTATCTAACAGCTGCTCGTTAGTAAACATAGGTCGAACGTCGACCAATAAACGAGAATAAAGCTCATTAAGGCATTTTAAATCGTTTTTGGCCAACGCAGACTGAGCAGTCTCGTATAAATTACCACAACACAATGAAGACATTATAAAATGTTACAAAACCGTAAACTGAGCACAGAGGCTGTTCAGAAACAATACGAGTGTATGTTAATTTTCAATTGCCTAATTTGCCTAGCTCAACTATGCTTATCAACAGCAATGATTGGTTGGAATTGCTCAAGTTAGGCAAAAAAAATTGACCAATGAAAGCATACGGTTGCAAAAAATTGCCCAATCAGAATACCTATACACGATGTCAAGTTAGGCAAATTCATCTTGTTTAGGCAAATTGCTAACAACCAATCAAATGGCTAGATCGCCTTCTTGACTTAGGCAAAATGGCTGCTTTGCCTAACGACACGGAGCTTTATAGATAATCATACGCATCTGGACTACGATTCATATCAAAATTACGTCATTTAATTGCACAACATTTCTAAACAAAAGTCAGATGATTTGACTGCGATAAAGTGCTATTTATAGTTTCATAATTCGATAAATTCGTATCGAATCTAAGTCGAAGTATATTTTGGTAATTTCACCATAGGCACTTGCCTATGGTGCCTACCCCTAGATCCGCCCCTGGTTGTCGAGATATCGTTTTACGGTTCTGTTAATAAAGTGAAGTGGGAAAGAGTTTCGTAAAAGAGTGGATGTGATGTTTTTTTATGTCTCGTTGAAAGCTATTTTTCGTATTGTTAAGTTTGTATGCTCTGTCGATTAGTGTGCGTATAAGTCCGGTTTTGTATGAAAGTGGTGTGAAACTAAAATAGTTCGTCAGAAGTCCTGTGTATGTTGGTTTGTGGTATGTAGATGTTGTACAGCTGTCGTGAGATTTTGTTAGTAAAATGTCAAGAAATGGTAGTTGATCTTGTTGTTCAGTTTCAAAAGAAAATCTAATGTTTGCGTGCTGTGTGTTAATGTAATTATAAAACTTCATGGCCTCAGTTTCGTTAGTAAAAACACAAAAAATATCGTCAACGTATCTGCGGTAAAATAGTGGTTTAGTGTCGTTGTAGTTGTTTAGCCAGTTTCGTTCATGTGAGCCCATGAAAATGTTAGCAAGTATAGGTGCTAAGGGAGAGCCCATCGCAACACCGTCCGTCTGGTCATAAAATTTTCCATTAAATAAAAAAATGCGTCTGTGCTGTTGCTATTAAAAACAGTTGGGTGAGGTCTGTCCTGTTTATACTGAACCTGCGGTTGTGAGTGAATATTAAGTCGATTGCTATGTTGATGGTTTCAGTAAGTGGTATGTTAGTAAATAGGCTTTCAACGTCGTAGGAGATGAAGAATTTGTGAAAAGAAGTTGATGAGTTGAAAGATGAGAAGTCGTCGAGGAAAGTGAAAGAATCTTTAGTGAAGTAATCTCACAAGGAACAGAACCCTACCATTCACACACAACGAGACGATAACCAATCTATCATCACACCAATTAAAAGACGAAGAACTAGAACTCCTGAAAAATGGCCTTGGGTTCAGCATTAAACCACTGCGACTCAACCTAACCGACATTCTGGCAACATTCGAAAAAATCCACCAAACCATAAAACACAACATTCGCAATCAAGAAGATCTCACGCATCTAAAAACAGAGCCGGCACACATCGCTCATTCGTACATCTCATCTTATCACCCGACACCAGCTGACTTCAAAAAAACATCACATCCTTAAAAACATTCGCAACAATCCAAACATTATCATTCTCAAACCGGACAAAGGCAACGGCGTTGTAATCATGAATCGTATTAACAATACAGCAAAGTTTACCCCACTCAAAGAAGACGTCACACTACCACGTGAAGCCAAACTACTACGACTGTTAAGGAGGCTTCTAAAGAAAGACTCCATTAGCAACAAAGTTTATAATGATATCTTCCACAGAGGTTCTCAACCCTCACGCTTCTACGGCTTACCGAAACTTCACAAGAAACGAGAACCAGAACAATCGCCTCCACTACGACCGATAGCTTCATCAATCAACGCATACAATTATAATTTAACTAAGTATCTTAGTTCTCTACTAACACCACTCATACCAGATGACCACTCCACTAAAGATTCTTTCACTTTCCTCGACGACTTCTCATCTTTCAACTCATCAACTTCTTGTCACAAATTCTTCATCTCCTACGACGTTGAAAGCCTATTTACTAACATACCACTTACTGAAACCATCAACATAGCAATCGACTTAATATTCACTCACAACCGCAGGTTCAGTATAAACAGGACAGACCTCACCCAACTGTTTTTAATAGCAACAGCACAGACGCATTTTTTATTTAATGGAAAATTTTATGACCAGACGGACGGTGTTGCGATGGGCTCTCCCTTAGCACCTATACTTGCTAACATTTTCATGGGCTCACATGAACGAAACTGGCTAAACAACTACAACGACACTAAACCACTATTTTACCGCAGATACGTTGACGATATTTTTTGTGTTTTTACTAACGAAACTGAGGCCATGAAGTTTTATAATTACATTAACACACAGCACGCAAACATTAGATTTTCTTTTGAAACTGAACAACAAGATCAACTACCATTTCTTGACATTTTACTAACAAAATCTCACGACAGCTGTACAACATCTACATACCACAAACCAACATACACAGGACTTCTGACGAACTATTTTAGTTTCACACCACTTTCATACAAAACCGGACTTATACGCACACTAATCGACAGAGCATACAAACTTAACAATACGAAAAATAGCTTTCAACGAGACATAAAAAAACATCACATCCACTCTTTTACGAAACTCTTTCCCACTTCACTTTATTAACAGAACCGTAAAACGATATCTCGACAACAAACATAGCAACAACCTCAACCTAGACACCAAAACTCCTGACACGACGATCACAACGAACACAAATGAAAATTCCAAAATAACAACTCTATACTTCAAACTACCACACATCGGACATTACTCACGACACACACAACGCAGACTTAGAAACATTATGAAACGCTTCTGTACAGATATTGACATTTGACTAATTTTCACATCATTCAAAATCAAAAACCTTTTCTCATTTAAAGCCCAATCCCTGATTCAATTAAATCTATGATGATATATAAATTCAATTGCGCGGGATGTAATTCCCGATACATTGGCGAAACTTCGCGCCATTTATCCACCAGAATCAGGGAACATACCACAACAGACAAAAACTCTCATACCTACCGACACCTTCTTAAATCTCACTCAAGCAAAACCAACTATTCACCCTCTTGTTTCAAAATCATCGACACTAACAAAACTAACCCTGACCTCAATGTTCAAGTTTTTAAATTCAATACAATATTTAGTTTATAATACGCTCGGACGCTCCTCATTAATTTATCTTATTTCCTTTTTATTGTTGTAATTTATGTATCATATTACTTTTATAAAAACCCTGTATCACCTATTATTTCACTCATACTGAAGATGGCATCATGAGATGTCGAAACATGTCTATTTTTTAAAAAAGTTGTCGTTTATATTAAATGTGTAATATGAAGTTGATAATTCAGCCCCGTGCATTCGGTGTTTTCATTACTTGCTTGAAAGCTTTTTTTCGTACAAATTCACCACGAATATGAAAAGTTTCGTCGTGCATTTATTCAGTTGCATATTGTTTGTCGTAATGCCAATACGAAAAGGAGACTTCTCAGAGACATTTGCCTTGTTACTTTGCAAAGCAACACGGTTTTCTACGCTTTCACATTCCTGAGTAATGAATGCTTCAAAAATGTATTTATTGCTGAACATTTTAACAAGAAATAAAGCAATAAAGTTGTGTTTGCTCGTACTCGTAGTCATCATCTTAACAATTGCTTGACCACGAGTACGACAACTTGTTTATAGAACCCAATCCTTCACGTTCAAATCGCGTAGCGGTAGTCGTACTCGTAGTCGAATCTGAAACTCTCTATTATAAAAGAAAAAGGCTGCGAACTTTGTGTTAAGTGCAGTTGAAAAGAGTTTTTGTCGACTATAACGCGGCAATAATTATTTGCCAATAACATTATGTATACAAAAGTTTTCACTTGCCACATGAAATGACCATGCACGGTATATACAAAGAATACAAAATAGTGATGTCAAATACCTTCAAAGAAAGATTAAATAATCATGAAACATTGTTCAATCTTCAAACACGAGAAATAAACTTGTCCATCAGATCACTCTGACATTACAGGGTTGTATAAAAAAAACTGTACTGTTTGGTAAAACAGTTGGACTTCCAATAGTTCATCTAACAGTAAATTAGTCGCAAATAAGAAGCAGTTTTAATTGTTAACGAGAAACACTTTTGAAATATCTCACGCACGAAAATGACACAGCTAAAAAACAATTGGAACACATAGGGTTAAATGCAATTTTATTATGGTACTCATCAACTGTGCATAAATGCAAGTTAAAGTCAACGCAAATGTTAATAATTGATAGAAGTTTTAAAAAAATGGCAATTAAGGGGTCGATTACATGGAGCAATTTCTCTCCGGGCCTGTTATAATATCCTATCAAAATAGGCTACGCGATTGCATGAGAACAATTCTAACCCAGGCTGAAATTGAGCTATCCCGGATAAAATTTCAGCCCGGGCTAAAAAATCTGTCATGTAATCGTTTCAGCCTGGGCTGAAATCACAGCTGAAAATATCCACGCATGCGTAATTGCGTACTTATTGCTTATGATAACGACAGCTAAAATTGCTCCATGTAATCGGCCCCTAAAAAGGGAAATTGCAAAAAAATTCACGATTTTGATGCCCAGCGTTCGTGTACGGCTTTGCCAAAATTCCCGAAACTTTTTAAGCTTGAAATGCTTGTGCCATATTTTAACCCTACATGTTCCAAAAGCTTTTTAGCCTAGTCATTTTCGTGCGCAAGCTATTTAAAATGTGCTTCTCGATCGTACAATTTTCACTCTAAAAATGCTTTTTATTTACCGCAAGTTTACTGTCAGATAAACCGTTGGAAAACTACCAAGTCCAAAGGTTTTTGCAGAACTTGCTCGCTGATGACTTAAGCGATGCTTTCTAAACTGTTCAGTTCGTGATACAACCTGTATAATGGCATAATGTGTTTAATCTTTTACTAAAACACTTGACTCTTATGCAACCCGAAAAGTTTCATCCATTGGACAGTTGATTTAAACTATCTCCTAGCCTTGGATTATATCACCTTCGGTGCAAATTTGCATGACCAATCCGTTTATCAGTTCTAAATTTCTGAATTATCTTATCATTTCTGATAGTCGTTTTATATTTGAATTACGAATGGCTGAGCGAGTGGTGACTCCGATTAACCTTTAGTACTATCTGAAATTCATCTGGATATTTCTGAATTCGACATGGAAAATTTTAGAGAGCGATGGGTTGACATGCAATTTAGGCGAGTGCGTATTTGAACAATAAAGAATAGTCAAGTCTTATGACTAAACGCTTAGGCACGATAGTTATGTTTAATTTATTGTACTGTTTCATTCAGATATTAAGACTATTGAAAAAAATTATCATATGTTGTTTGAAATTTGTTGAAAGTTTTCAATTATGAAGCGCCTATTTTAAGCGATGTCGATTGATTTAAATTAACGTTTACAAAAATTTGTTGCGTAAGGTTCTGCCAATTTATAGCTACCTTCGCTCGCAGTTGTTATGCAATCATGAATGTCATGTTTGCTTTAACATTTCACCGTTTTAGTTTATTTAATTGAACTGCTTTTAGGTGCTCGAGAAATTAACTGAAAAGAACACTCAGCTTTTGGATATTGCTCAAAGAGGTAGCTCATTATTTTTTTTAACTTTTGCTGATGTAGCTACTTCAAAAGCAAAGCAAGTACTGTCATAACCACACCCTGTATTAACAATACTTGTTTCTGAATGTTCAGTTCAGTGGCGTCTAGAAGACAAACCTGTGCCAAATGTAGAATATTATAATGTTTCATATTTATCAGTGCTATACAGGTGTATAGGAAATTAACAGATAAGAAAATGTCGCTGAGGTCAAAATACCTATGGCTCGTTTTTAAACACTGTTTTTTCTCAAACCTACATCAATTATTTATGTTTGCATTATTTTAGCTCAAATTTACGCATAATTAACTAGGATTGTTAAAAATGTCTGTAAGACCCTATCACACATAGATATATTAAACTTAGATTACTGACGTATATACAAGGTACATGTAGCCGGCTGTAGCAAACACTGAGTTATATTAAGACTGGAGGGAGCATGTCATCGAAATTATTATGAATTATTAGCGCGGGCATTGGTCGAAAACATGCGGTGTTTGTGGTCAAATTCAGTTTAGAGGACGCGGGCTCATGAAATAGAAATTTTCGACAACATATTCAACATTTTTATGCAAATACACCAATTAATATTCTTTTTTCTGATATGATATACTTTATACTATATTGTTCATTGAAAAAAAGCTTTAGTTTTCATTTTGCACTTTTGGGAAGAGGTTATTTCAAACAGCATCTTTTAACTTATATCATTCAAGAAACTTAAACAGGATTGGGCTTAGAATATGATCATTACTGCGTGAACTGCTACTTTAAAGAATTATCTATAGGGTGTCATACATACTTTCTCTTTACTGTAAATCTTGTAGCACAAGAGCAACAATGCAGACACCACGAAATAGATAGAGCAAAGGAAGAATTGCGCATGAAAAATATGGAAATTTTGCAACTTCATGCTCTTTTAACTGAGACGGAACAATTACTGGTCAGTGATTGCCACGCTTTGTGGAAGAATTTTTCGATCAAAATACGTATATGTTATAAAGTAATACAGTGAAGTTTTGATTTTGTATGTATACATTGTGTTTCAATGTATTTTGTTCATTGGCAGTTGTAATTGAATGAACAGTATCAGTTGGCGTTATAGTTTTTTTCTAATTGTTGACGTTAATCACCCAGCTTTTCTTTCTGTCTTGTATTTAGTCGTTAAATAGACTAGTGTACTTATAGTATTGTATACTTATGCAGTCAAATGGCCTATTTCAAGCTAGAAAAAAATGCTCGGCTATGCAAACTGCCGCAAAAAGTAAGTCGTGTACTTTCTTTGTGCATACTCTCTTATCAATATACACATGCATAATACTTTGAAAACTTGAAACTGAAAACCTTAAAACTTTGGGCATTTTTTACTTTCTTCCAATTTTTGTAGACAAAATTATTTCTGAGGATTTGATAAAATATGCTCACAGAATAAGCAGTAGTTGCGCCATCGAAGCCCCATCAAAGTGGAGGTCAGGTAAGCTGTCAAATTTAAATGAAAGATGTAGTGTTTTCTATAGTGCCAAACTCAAGTAATTTTTGTAATACGAACATGTATAGCTACATGTTTTATTGTTCAATCATATTTTTTCCCTTTTCGCTCGTATGTGGTGTACATAGTTTGTCTGTAGATGTACAAAGAGTGTTCTGAATTACAAGTAAGCATCAAGTGAGAGATTATTTGGAAAAATAAATTTGATAAACGAATATTTCCTCCAGGTGATGCCAGACGACCTTATCCACTCGACATTGAAATGCGCTCTGGGCTCCTGGGAAAAATGCAAGAGCGGCAGATGGACCCCACACAACAGGCGAAGCCGAGTTATGTTTTAATTACAGATTCGCCACTTCACAATGGTAATAAAGAAGGGCATGCTCAAAAAAATCAGAAATCTGGTAGGTCAATCACTTTTCTTGTAAACAAATAAAAGATAAGAAGATTTTGTATTTTTTGGTAAAGGAACATCATACATAATGAAATACAGTTTTCGTATAGAATTTCGCCAAGGGGTTTGCTTTTATAGCGAACTAGCTTATTAATATTACACATGAATTGACGTTTGGCATTGGCGTTCAAGATGTACCGATTATCATCCACAACCTTTAAGAATAGTCTTGATCACATTTTCTACTTCCAGGATGTAATGGTTCAGTTTATATTTCTATAATGTTGATATGTTTAGGATGGTATATAGATTATCTAAGTTTACAATTTCTGAAATTCTTTTGAAGATTCAGTAATCTTTCCACTTAAGTAAATTCTACTGGCATTCCTATAGTTTGATAACTATTTTCTATTTAAACAAATTTGGTATTGCCCGCATTGTCACGCCATTTTGCTTGAGGGTTAAAGTAGTTATAATTTGGCTTTATCATATCAAACCTCTTAGTCGAAACTCCAAAGTCTTTTTGTTTCACTTTCTAGTTCTTCTGGCAAATTTTAATTTTTTTAGTTAAGCAAAATGTTGACTTGGTTAAGTATAAGTCATTCTTCGGATCATTAATTTCTTTTGTTTTTTTTTTGCCTAATTGCTCATATGTGTCAGTCCTGTTCCTACTAGGTCAAATGATAGTGAGGAATTTCTTTGCTGGATACATTTCAAAACTGAGTTCTGATACATAAAGTAAATTTTTTCTTACCTAACGCTCCAGTCATTAAATGATTATGATGGGCCATGTAAGTGCAAGTCCATTCAGCACTTAGATGTTTTTGGTGTTTTGTATGTGCTATAATAAAAAATTTCTGTTTCTTGTCCCATACACAATCATGCCTTTGCAAGTATATATTGTATTCTAAAATGATTATATAATCATTCAACTAAAAAGGTTGTATAGCCTTTCATGATTATAAGTTGTTAATTGCTTCTGGCAAGAAATTATTCAGTATATGTGGTAAACATCATATTTAATATAAGAAATGGCCAATAAAGAATTTCTCACTACCGTTTGACTTAGTAGAAACGGGACTCACACATGTGACTAAATAAGCCAAAAAGTAAAAGCAATGATTGCAAGCACAATTGCACTCATTTTAGTCAACAATCTCCAAATTTGATGTTTTTTAGAAGAATTGAAAACTGTAACTAAAAGTCTTTGGACTGAAATGTTTGGTATTATTCAGAGCAACTATAGCAGAGCCTAGTTTTTACCAAGAAATCAAAACAAAATAACGATGTTGACAATATTAAATTTGTTTGGAGACAAAATAGTCCTGAACTGCTGCCTGTAGAATTTACTTCAGTGGAAAAACTTCTCAATCTCAAAAAAGAAACTCAGAAATAGTAAGCATAGACAATATATTTATACCACCCTAAACATAGTAGCATTATAGAAACATAAACTGAATCATTACATCCTTCAGTTTCTTAAGGAAATAGCTCTGCCTTTGAAGATTAGCTTGACAAATTGCTTCATGTTGACGCTTTTCGTTCAATTTGTGAAGCAAAATCAAACCGTACACTTTAATAAGCAAAGCTGTGAGAGATATCAATTGAGAGATATCAATTGAGTACTTCAACGAGTGCTTGCTCTGTAAATGCGAGCTTGTAGGTGGGATTATGAGCGGGTTAGTAAGCGGGATAGTTTCATATGAAACGAATTAAAAACTCAACTCAGCAAGCAAAGCCATCCCGGCTAGGCGGGCTATCCCACCTCATATGAACAGGCCCTTAACTTTCTCGGCAAATGAACTGCTCTTTGAAGGTACACATTCACTATAGTTGGCAAACTAAAGACTTTCCATACTTTTTAATTGCCCGCAATATTTTTTTGACTACCAAAGTTTATCAGTTTTTATACTTAGTTAGCATTTTGTTCGCATTATGCTTGCTCCCTTAAAACATTAACAAAACATTAGATCAAAAAAATCGTATTTGTATGATCAACTTGTAAAAAAACAACGTGCTAAAAGTGGACATATTCAATGCATTATATTCTCTAAAGAAGCTCATCGAAAAGAACTAGCAGACCCGTCGTCCTGGAATACCTTTAGAAAAGTTTCTGAATTTTTTCTCTTTAATCCCATATTACATTTGACATCATCAACGACTGATAATTTCGTGCCTGAAGTTTTCATCGCGAATGTCGGATTTCTTACACACGCAACGAAGCACTGAACAGTCTACAAGCTTAAAATAACTACGAATCATCCAATGAGTCACATAATGGCTGCAATGACAAGCGACTTACCTCACTGAGGCAAAAAACGAACAGCAAATCTTGTGTGTACTGCGCCCAGCCTTGTAACAATTCAGGAAATTTGCATGACACAAGGTGACAAAAGTTTTGCCTATGGCGAGGAAGATGCTTATGAGATGCGTTTGATGACATACGAAACTACTTGTTTTCAAACCCTCGAGCTTTCACCATGATAGAGTTAACATCTAAACTAGTGTCACACTCATACATGATAGAAAATGGCATGAATGAAATACAATCAAATAGCTTCAAGAAAGCACATAGCTACGGCATAAGCTGCCAGGAGATTTTTGAAAGAGCTTGTTAATTTTCCCTGACTACAGTGGGTAACTTCTTGTTATTTCTCATAATTTACATGTCAATCAATGCATTGGCAGCAGAGCTCATGGAAATTAAAAGAGAATTGAAGGCGCTGAAAACAGTAAAATATTCAGTCGTGTGCATGAGAAATGAGCTCAAAAAAAGCAAGGAGAGCTATATCTTCGATGGCCCCTTAACCACTGAAATTGGATTATTTTGCTCCTTTTTTCCTTTTTAAAATATTCTTCCTTAAAATTTTTGTGGCAAGCGACGAAATAAGCCCATGACCTTCCGTCTAAATAGAGTTCTCCATTCTATTTAAATATTCCTCTTTTTTATTTATATATTCCTCTGTTGTATTTATATATTCCTCCATTCTATTTGTATAATGTAACAACGCCATATTTTTATGGTAAGTGAAAGTTCTTCCTGGAACAAGACTTTTTTAAAGCATTCATAAAGCTTTTGGATATCGAAATATTTTTTAGGCTTTATGCAATAATAAACCTTCCACCGTTCTTCACCTTTTTCTTGAGACCATAACTAAACTTCATTGTCCACATAGAATTGGGACTGTTATAAAACAGAAAATAGTGCTGATTCCAGACAAATGATGAATCGTTATAGTCCGTCCAACGAGCCTGTTATTACTGGGTAATCGTACATAACAGTGCATTGAGCGTCCATTGCGTGATGTTAATACTTACGTTGATGTATACGAACATCTTTTACTGCATGATATCGTATCCGGTTGTTATTGACATGTTTTGTATCTAAATACTGCAAGTCAGCATAATATCATCCCAGTCTAGCGGAATGGGCATTTAAATGAGCAAAAAGTGCCTTGTTGACCGGTATATGCCGAAACTCCATTCATCATCCCATCTCGGCGAACATACTGTTCCGCCTTGTCATATAAACAAGCCATCCTGAACAGTGCATTTTTTATCAAATTATGAGCAAGAACATCGAAAAATGACAACGAGAATAGAAAATTTATACAAACTTGATTAAATTTTGACTATTTTACTGCATTCCATTGAAACACGTGCTCATGACAACCGCTGTTTAGTGTTAACGACGTGCCATGCCTCCGCGCGCACGCACAGTTTTACTTTCTTTTACGTGTTTATGCTGTTTAATTAGTGTGTTTAAACTATTTTATGTGAATATTTCTTATTTGTGTGACCCTTGTAAGGCACTTGTTAATATATTCTTATCTGTAATTTTGCTTGAATTCTAGAATCTATGGCATTAAATTGGCGCTCCGTCTTGAATTCTGCTGAAATCATGGTAAGTTAATGTTCTGTCATGTTAGGACAAATTTGAAATGTTTAGCTAGCATGTCTCTTTTGCGTCAGGTCAATGGGTTTATCGTTATAGTAAATAGTTTTTCTATTTCTTTCTTTTCTTTTTATTACTACTTTTTACATTTACATGTTATAAGTTTCATACGCTATTGCCCTTTGAAGTTCTTCATATAGATTATCCTGATTGGCTTGAACGTTTGTAGCACGTATTAAGTAAATGTTGCTTGGTTGTATTAGGTATCATGCATGTGTTTTGTTTTTATTCCAGTTTTTTTATCTGTGTTCATATTTCTCTACTTTATCTTCCATCTTTGTGCCTCAACTTAAGACCTCACAGTTATAGACTTCCTAAATCACAAGTCGACAACTGGAGTGTCCTAAATCACAAATTTTTCTTAAACAGCCTTTTACCTCCTATCAAGCTCTTTTCTATCTCGCATTATACATTAAGTCTAAATCATGTTTTGGACGTAATGCTGTTTCCTACCTTTAAAGTTTTTTCGAAAGTAATTGATCATGCGTTCGACTTTCGGAAGCGATAAGTTTCTATAGTGTGTTTGCATGTGACGTCACAGCCTTACTGTCTCCAACAGTAAACTCTATGATGAAGGGCGGGGACATTGATAATTGGCGGAGGCTATTATTCATATATGCATGTTTTACTTAATTATTTTCTATTGAAATTAATTGTGTGTACGGATTATAGCATATGAATATATCCCGCCTATTATCAATGCTCCGCTGCCACTCTCTATAATAACTGGAAGGCTAACTAAGTTGCCATCTTTAAAGCCTGCATGATCGCCGCCGTTAAAGGTATGGTCACAGAATAGATACATACAGAAGGGCCACTTCGCGAAAAATGCGGTCCTAAATTTTAATGCGCATGCGCCACTTCCGCCATGTTGGCAGCAAGATAAACTTGCTACACTAAATAAGGGTAGCAATGTACAACTCAAAAATCTTGGCGTTATTACTTGAAAAGTTGAAATATTTATCCTGAGACGACCAAATGAAAGCTGTGCTGAAATGGGAACATACAATCAACATATTTTTATGCATTTTCATGTACAACCAATGTGTACAATTCTATCGAGACCTGTATGAGAAATGCTGTGCCGTGGCCGTGTGGTCACGGTTATTCGTATTTATTTATTTGTAAAGAACGGGAGCGGAAAAGCGCTTAACGAACGTCTTTAAATCAGAAACAAGAAGGAACAATGTGAAATATATCAACGAACGGGCTACACTAAAAAAGATATTTCGTATGACATTGGATTTGGTGCTTTAGAATTCAGACAAATTTAGTCATATCCCGAACATTCGATAAATGTTCATTGAGAAATTGCAAACTTGTGCAATTGTATTTAATGCCAATGCCATATTGTGTTGGGAAAATTCTTATATTGTATGATTGTAGCTAACTTCCAGATGCTCTTAACTATATGTTCCTTATATTTGTCATGTTTTAGATAATTTAAAGTATTGATTCCGTTGTAAGGAAATAAAATTGTCCTCTTGCTTCAATTAATATATATATATTGTTATTTTCGTTACATCGCTGTCGCTGCATTAATTTTCAGATTAATTTTCAAGTTAAATATGCTACACAAATATTCAGCCACACCATTGCTGCATCAATTTGCACATATTCATCAATTGGAGCACTACCACCATCAGCCTTGGGTACAGCTGAGTTGCTTTTCAAATTTGATTCACTTTTCGATTGCGTCAGTAGTTCCACACTGAAATCAGCAAAAGAACAAAGAAGTGCAATAAGCAACAGCAATAATCACATTGCTTTTCTCAAAGAAGCAATGTCCTTTATCCAGGGTATCAAAGTGGTAAAAGATGGTAAAAACATCACAGGCAGAATCAAATCACTGAAGGGATGGCTTATATCTATAAAGGCCATTATCTGTCTCTGGACCTATCTTCATGCGTCACATAATTTTGCATTCTTGCTTACCAGAAGATTAAACACAGATGCTCTAGAGAATTTTTTTGGAACATTACACCAGCAAGGAGGTAATTCTGACAATCCCACGCCAATACAATTTATCAGAGCTTTTCGAAAGTTTTTTTTCATTTCACTTTTGACCTCTTCCAAAGGAAACTGTTCTAAAGATATGGACACTCTGCTAACACAATTTTCAAAAAAAAAAGCCCAAACCATTTAGTATGTCACTTACCCATGCACTTACAAAGCTCCAAGTAACTCACTGTTGATTGGTGAAATGACTACCGAGAACAAAATATTAGCAACAATTTATTGCTCAAAAATGCTGCTATGTTTCAGGATATTTGCTAAGCAAAGCTTTCAAAATCCACAGCTGTCTCCAATGTAAGAACGTTTCGACTTCAAATAACATAAACAATGATGGTAATTTGCTTTGCTATTTCAAAGCATATAAAGAACTCAACTTTGGTGGGCTGACTGCTCCTTCATCGTGCTATTTAAATTACATTATGCAACTTGAAGACACCTTCGTGGATTGCTTCTTAGTCACAACCAAAAATCTGAATGTTGGAAAGAGCATCTTGAAGAGTCTTAACATGATACCAGTGCCATTCCGTACATGTTCACAGTTTCCACTGCAATATTTGGTCAAACTTTTTTTAAGAATGCGAATTTATTACGGCATCAAATTTGCAAATCGCGAGTTTTCCTCTTCTAATAAAAGATCGCGAAAGTACATTAAAGTCAAGCATTTGTAACATTCTACAAACTTACTACAAGGAAAATTCCATAGACAAAGTTGATGATCCTTTTCATTGTAACTCGCAATACAAGCATAACCATGATTAAATGTTGGCAAGTTGGCAAAAGCATCAGACCACAATAACAAATTTTGACTCTAAAACGTGTATTCTAACGATGCGATTCGACCTAAGTTGTCTAAATTACCTTCTTTGACATTGCTCGTGATGGCATACACAAAACAAAAATGGAATAGCCATATAATTGTCGAGGACGCGCCGAACTGTTTCTCATTACTATATTTTCTATTACAAACTTGCTGGAGTTATCTTGCTGCCAACATGGCGGCGATGCCTGATTGCGGGCTAAAAGTTGACAACAAAATCTTCAAAGGTTCCGACGAGAGTGGCCCTTCTGTATGTATCTATTCTGTGGTATGGTGGCGAAATATATCACTTCGAAATTGCTGGATTTTCTGCACAAAACAGCTCACTTTGAGCAAACACAATGGCTAAAAACCTTAAACAATATTTGGACTTTAATATAAAACAAGTTTGAAAGATATTTGTGCATTTAAAAGCTGTTTTTTAGAAGGATGAAAAGCGAACTTTGTTTTTGCACGTCAAAACATGCCTCGTAACTTGAATACAAAACTGACGTGCCCCTTGTTTCTTTCATTAAAAGGATGTGAAATAGACTTGTCTACCCTTATAATATTGTTTGAATCTTTGAAAATGAAGCTGTCAGCGCGAAAAACGCTGTTTTTCGGTAAGTTTTGTGTTTCCAAGCAAAATTAGCTCTCCCCAGTCCTTTTTGAAAGTTTAGAGCGTAAACAAAAAGAAAAACACATCGCAAAATTTTTCGAAAAATTGGCGAAAAATATATTTTGAGTTCGTTGTTAAAAAAACTGTTATGCCATATTATTGTGTGATTATTAGTTGCACTATGAAGAAGACAATATTAAAAAAGGGTCAATACCCACTTAAAAAAAAACACAAGAACACAAATAACACTTCACAATGATTACTTTTGAAACACTTAAGCAAAAGTTATAATGTAATACAAGTATGAAAAAGATTATTTTCGTTTAATATTATAGAATCATTATAGATTTTCACAAATAAGACCCAACACTGTAAACACACATGCTAAATTATATAATATATTGCATATATATTATTCACCATCTGTATGGCAAGAAAAAACTAATTTTGCAATCAATATGATATACTTTACTATAATATTTTGATGTAAGATATAACTTTGCTAGCTTTATAATCATTTTAAAACCCTGGTTCTAACCACTGAGGGTAAGTGCTGCTTTTAGGCGTTTATGTAGAGCAGGTCATCATATGGCATTACTGTTGTATGTTGTACACCTGGCTATTTATTAATTAGCACGAACTTTATAAAATGCAACTCAATGCACAAATTTAGATGCATGTTAAACATACCAGTTTTTCAGAAGTAAGAGAGGCCAGTGACAGAAACTAACATTTGTCCACAGTTTAAATTTCAAATTGTCACTTTCACACATTACAAAACGATCATGTGAAATTCTTACTAAACGAGTGACTGTAGGTCTGACTTTAAAAGCAATGAAACTGATGTGAAACCTGTTGTATTAAGCGGGTTGTGTGTATTTTACGCAACATTTAAAGATATCGACTACCTATTATCAGTTTTATTTTAATAATATTTTTGGTCTTTCGACAATAAATGAGTAATTTATATTTCAAAGGAATTCTCACTTTTATGTTTTATGAAATATAGCCTTACATATACAAAACATGTCTTGGTAGGTACACAATGCATCTCAACACAATAATAAGCAAATTTTGCCAACGATTTTGCAAAAAATATTATATACAATTCAATTTTAAAGCAAGCTGTTTTTTCAAACCATTCTGTCACGCAAATAAAACAGTCCACGCGAGACAAAGAGAAGCGCTAAATCACCTTCAAATCTGCTCAGACAAGTCTAGCCATGTGCATATAGAGTTAGCTTTCGAGTTTGTATTAGAGTTCACTGGTGGTGACTTAAATGCAAACACTCCACTGAAGTGCGCACATTCGACTCGAAAAAATGCTTCACTTTTTAAATCAAGTAGCTGTATATAATTGCACAACTATTTGCGCATGGTGGAGATGGTGATTTTTGTACGCTGTTTTCCCTCCTCTTTTAATTGGGCGACGTATACTTCCGTAAAGTGCAAGGACTTTGAGAGATAAAGAATATATTGAAAACTGGACAATCAATGTTAAGAAGCTTTTTATGGAAT